AAACAAGTAGTAAGAGTGAGTGCACAAATTAAACCAGAAAACAGCTGCTAGCATAGAAGGATAAAACCCCTTAATCCTCAAAATAGACCATAAAATATAGCGCTGCATATATATTTTATGGTCTATTTCTTCAAATACAAGTGATAGTGGTCTTTGTCAAGTGGATCTAGGCCATGCAAAAAACACAAAGAGGGGGTCCAACATAGATGAGACAATTATGCAAACAGAAAAATAGTGTGCCTGAAGAACCAGTGTGCCAAATGATCAGTTTATAAGTCCATAAAAAGTTTATTCTTGACAATGGTGTAACAACCAGTAGAAATACAGTTTTCGGGGGCCAGAAAATCCCTCATCAGTGCTGAAATATGAATGCTGGAGTTCCTGATGTGGACTGTAATAAAAACTCCCAAAACACATACCTTGAACAGGAAGCGTGCAAAGCACAACAGCTCTATGAAGGCATTGCCAGTATCCTGTTGTGGGAGTTTTTAAGAGATCTCGCGTATCTTAGTGATTAGTCCCCTTTTAATTTCCGTCACCGGCTGTGGAACATTATTTCTGTATCAAAGGAAAATTTGACATGCCATCTCACGCCGCACAACGAGATCATAGTCTTGTCATTCCTCTCACCACTTTCAAAGGATGTGTTCAAGTGGAAAATCTTCTCGCTGTTTTCTTGAGGATAATCAAATCTGCATGTAACTATTTCTGACACCCACAGCACAGACCCCTAATCATAGAGCTGCCGGGAGCTAATGCACGGCAGCCCTCACATTGGCAGCTGCTTAACGCCATATCTTGACGAAGGGAACCTGTCAGTCCCTTTTTATGTACCATTTGTTCCGGAATGTGAAGAATACTCCATGCTGTGTATTAACTCATGTTAGGCTGTAAGGAAGAAAATGCTGAGCTTTCTGGACCACCCATGAAGGCAGCTCAGTGTTACAATTGTGTAATTCATTGTTAATTTTCTGTATAATACAATATATTCTTTATTCAGGATAGAAATACTAGAAATACAGGAGTTGCTCTGTCCGGTCATCTATATGCTTGCTTCACCATTGGCCTGGTGCAGGTCTGGGGTTCCAGGGTCATTGGCTGCATCTTGTTCCTGGTCAGTGACTCCCTAAATTATATCCCTCTTATATTTTTAAAGTGTACCTAATCTCTGCCTAATCAGGAAAAGGTACCAGGTTCCTTGGTAGCAGGCGTGGTAAGAAGCTTTGAATTGGCCCGCATGTGCTCTCTCAATGACCAATTTGCCCTGAGACAAATCCAACAGCTTTGGATACAAAGAGCACTTGACTCTATGCCCTGCTTCCAATAATGCAGTGACCTTTCTTTGGGCAACCAATCACCAGGCCTTATTATCGTCATGTGGGGTTGGGAATGGGTCAATAGCTCTGCATAAGCTCAGAAAAGCTTCAGGAAAGCTCTGGAGAGTGAATGGCACAGCGTAGAAACACTGTAAAGCCTGCTTACCATGTCTGCTAGCTGACCTTGGATGATTGGCTTTGAAGACCAAAACTGCATGGGCGGCTTCCATAGTTTACCCCAATAGGTTTGCCATCAATATTAGAGATGTTGCAACTGGGTGAATTCACAATTTTAGGTCAAGATTTTTTTTTTTTTTTCTGATGAAGTGGGTCAGCATAATACCAATAGTGAATTGAGACTGTACAAAAAAAGCCTTTATTTTCATTCAATAAATCTTCCTAGTAATGTGTGCATTTCCTAAAGTAAACTGAGGGATAAACTCAGAATGAACAGCCTTTATGTAATCATCTGATTTTATACCTGCTCAGTGATGCCCTCTATGTGACTCACTTCTCTCAACAGACTGCAAAGTCTCCCGGCAGCCTTCTTTCCCTCTGATAAATCAGAAATGTTCTGCCACTTATTTCAGGCACCACCAGACCAAAATTTAACCAACAAGAAGCTAACTTATCTTACCATTCTGCTACCTGTATATCGCTATTCAATATCAGAAAATAGCAGAGTTGTTCTAAGTGGTTGAAAACAAAACAGTGTACCCTGCCTTTGTTTAAAGCTGAATTCCAAGTATGGCAATATTTACATAGTTACATCAGTCTGGCTTGGACCAATGTATGTGTGTTCCATACCTTGGGTATCCTTCTAGAAGCTGAAAATCACTGTAGTAGGCACCACTACTCCAGTGATCTCCACTAGGTTCTGGGTTCTGTGCCGAGTGGCTGACCTGCTGCATTGTGAACACAGTAGATGGCTCACTTGACACAGGCACCATTTAGGGAACAATTTGCATTTTCTCAATGCTGATTGGACCAGGTGGAGAAGCAGTGCAGTGATGTCCCAATCTCCCATCTCATCCAGAGAATATTCATTGAGAAAATGCAAAGTGTTCTCTGAATAGCTCCTCTGCCGAGCAGGAAACCTCCTGTGTTCACAAAGGAGCAGGTCAGCCTCTCGGCACGGGACTCGGAAGCTGGTGGAGATCACTGTAGCAGTGGTGCCTCCTGTGGGATCCCACAGGTATGGCAAATGCATACTTATATTGGTCCAAGCTTGATCACTGTAACTATGTGAATATTGCTATACCTGGAATTCAGTTTAAATGAGGCTTAGGACATAAATTGTTTGTATATGGAGTCCTAGGCCATCAAGAACAGGAACTGTGCTGTTAAATCTGGTGTTTACCAGTGCCATATATCAAAAATTTTAACCATGTCTTATGTGGTATTTTGCCAGTATAGAGAGAATGCATTTGTGACACATCAATGGGAATGACAGCTATGCATGGAGTCAGGCTTAAAGGCCAGCTTCACGTTAAACTGATATGTTTGTTTTCTTAGTTGCTGACAGTGGAATAATGTGATGCCTTCTGATATCTATCCAAACTGCTATGGCCAAATCCAAAGCCAAACTATGGTATCACATTTCCCTCTTTGATTGCAGATTGACTTTTAGGAGACAGCCTTTCTGCCGTCAGAAGGTGACACCTTTGTTAAAGGATAAGTTCACATTTGGGAACATGTTACATGTTCCACCCATTTTTAGGGTGGAACATGTAACATGTTCCCAATGCTGCAGCCGCTGCCCGCTGCAATCTGCTGATCGCTGGTGCAATGCTTTACAGGCTCCTGCAACCAAAAGTAATAAACGCACATTTTTTTTACCTGCAAAAAAATGTGGATTTTATTATTTATGGTCAAAAGGTTTAAGTGCCTTGTAAAGTTGGAGGAAACACAAACCTCTTCTGGAAAAACTTGGTTCTGGATTCTCTGACAGACACACATAGTCACAGGTATCCCAACTCAATCATGGTGACCAGGGCTGCAATATCAGTTTTTAGTGGAATTGACCTTTAATTCCATCCATAATGAAAAGGAGTAACTCAGTAAGCATTTTCTTTCTGTCTGTAATATCTGTATCCACACAAGCCCTTCCTGAAACTGTCTGTGTCTGCAGCTTTCTCAGCATGAGCCTATAGTACATTTTCAGTGGACATATATTTTTGTTTTCTGCTTCACATGGAATGTTAGTGCTAGTTTCATGCCAGAATCCAGCAGTTTCCTGTGGTTGCGTCTACTCAATACAAAGCAATGACAGGCTGGTAGCAGCTGCAGGTGTCTGCCTGTGTTCAGATGTAATCACACATTGAGCGATTACCTGCAGGTAGGAACAGATGATCGCCCCTGGATGCAGACAGCTTGAATCCATGTGCAATCATTTAACACCAAAGACTGATGAACAGCTGTGGCCGCTGTCAGCCTCTCATTTGTCACTTTGTATTGGCTTGGCGGCTACAACTATCTACATCCACCTGTGAATCCAACTGCAGGCATCGGCTGAATTCTTGCACAGCTGGCAGTAAAATACCATGTAAATGAAACCTTACTGTGTTTACTTTTTGTATTTTTGTTACTGTATTAAATAGAAGGATCTTTTTTTTCTTGTGGAGCCCATTGTTAAATGGAAAAAATCTATAAACCTGTTTACTAATGTTCAGTAATCAAACTAATGGAGGAACAATATAGCATGGACCTGGAATAGCATGAACTTGGAAGTATTTGTAGATGCGGGTCCAGCTCCCCCAGGAAGCCAGAAGCCTGAGCCACTTTAGTATGCAATGTTGACTTCTACAGGTCTAACTAAGGCACACCCCCTCCTCTTTTTGTCCATTGTGATGGGCAGCCCCATTGAAATAAAATGCAAGGGCGAAATTGGAGATGGACTCTCTCTTTAGAGGTTAGCATATGAGCACACTCTTCAGTTTTTAGGTATCTGGGTCCTCACACAGATCAAAATGGTGAGTCCTACAAGGATAAAGGAAAATATCGAAAATATATACTTTAAGAACAATCAGGACACTTGGTTTTTCTATGGTCAGTTGATCAATAGGTTTCTATTAATTTAAAATTGCTCTGCTTGAGGGTCACCTATGGCAGGGACCAAGTGACCCACCTATTTGGAAAAACATAGATACCTCCATAAAATGTACACACTTATCCCTTTTTCTTGTAGGACTGAACATCTAGATTATGTTCAGGAAGATCAAGAGGCATTTAAAAATGTCTCCCATGTATTGTATATCCCTATACAGTCCCAATGGAAGACAAATCAGATTGCAGGGGAAAGCAACTGGGTCTCATCACTGTTACCCTCTCCAGCTGCAAATATTTTTTCAGCTGCCAGAAGCGAGGAGAATACTGGTACATCTGGGTATGGAGGACCCATTCCCTTATGTGAGGAAGCTGTGCGCAAGCTTCAATATACAGCTCTTGCTGCTGAATGTAGGGAAAGGAATTTGCCTGGTATTTTCAGCTGAGGAGGATGGAAGTAAGGTGCCCAGTAGGGACAAATCACAGGTTTCCTTTAATGTTAAACAAATCGCATGACCGGAGCAGGTGCTTACCAAACTGCCCAGTTTAATTTGAGATTTTAATCACATCTCAAAGGCATAATATAATGGTTCATACATAATGCCACTATTTTCCTTTTTAATGTTCTCTTCTTCTCTCACACAGGAATTTCCGAAAGCACTTACGGATGGTCGGAAGCCGCAGAATGAAAGCTCAGTGTAAGCAGAGAGCGAAAATGTTGAAATGGATTGCCCTCCGATGGGCCTTTTGTCTGTTTTTATAGTGTTTCATATAGGAATTCCCTTGTGTGTTGGTATACAATGGCTGTGTTTATCATTATGTGTTCGCACGTAGGGCTGAGAACAGGCGATGGTGATGTAATATTCACACTGTCTAAGAAACAATTTACTGCCTACATACACAGTCCAGCGTCTATGAAAGTCCTGTTGCAGAGATTAAAAAAAAATGTTTCACTTCTGTTAGCAAAGGTAGCAGATTTTATTGCTGGCCTTTAACTGCTTTTGCTCTGTAGGTAACAAGGTAGGTGATAACGGTGCTCTTGCCATAAAAGCTTTAACAGTCTTGATTGGGGGATCCTGCCTTTTGTATTTTTACATAACCAGACTAAGTGTTATAGGATTACACTTCTGGCATCCTACGCACACATATACGCCATATTTTTTAAGCAGAGAAATTGACGTTCACCAAAAAATTCACTGCAGGTGAACCTTCCAGGTGGCTGTGCTTTACATGCCAGTGATTTATTCACCACCAGTGAATGTTTGGCAGTAGTTACATTCATGGCATCATAAATATGCCCCTTGGCATTTGCCTCGTTAAAGGTTAATCTACCAGTGCAGGGATGCATATTCGTGTATTTACAGTGGATCCTCAGGGGTTGGGCTAATTGGTTGTAAAAAAAAAAAAGCATTATGAAAAATAATACCAATTTGTCCTGCACTGTGTGTTTGTTCTTAGTATGATGCACAAGCCCAAGAACTAATATTTATGCTAAAGGCACATATTATTATTATTATTATTATTACATTGAGTTTATATAGCGCCAAAGGGTTTGCTCAGCGCTGTACAATAGGGGGGACAATACATGGCACAGTACAACAAAAACAGACAGCGTACGAGGGGTAAGAGGGCCCTACTCTTTCAAGCTTACAATCTAGGAGGGAGGGGGTAGTGGTACAATAAAGCTATAATGTACCTGTATGACTTGTATAACAAATATCTATATGTTCTGCAAAGAAGAATATTACAAGAATTCTCTCTTTTCCTTATACAGCTTTTGCTGACCGTCGAGAAAGGAGCTTCAGCCGGTCCTGGAGCGACCCCACCCCAGTCAAAGCAGACTCCATCCATGATTCCAAAGAAAGTAAGCACTGAAGTATTTAGAAGTACATTGCATAGCCTAAACACCTGACCTTTTGTGTAACATATGAGTCAAGACCCCTGAGCATAAGTCCTAAACTAGCTGTTTCATACTTAATAAGTCAACCCCTAAAACTTTCCAAGTCCATCCCATTACCCATTATCCCAGTACATAACACCCACCCCCCAAACACTTCCAATTTCCTCTTCTCACAAAATCCCACTGACATCTATAATCCCTTCGCTGTAGGTCATTCTCCTCTGGAGGAAGCAATTTAGGCATACCCTTGCACAAGGTGATTATAAAGGATAGAAAGTTTGGATATTATTTATACAGGATTTACAGTATAAACAGAGGCAGTACAGTTACAATACAATTCAAGATATGAAGGTTAGGAGGGCCCTCCCTTGTTAGAGCTTACAATCCAAATGGAATGGAAAGTGATACAACGGGTAATAGATGTGTGGGGATGAGTTGTTTGAAAAAGTAAAAAACTGTAGCTGGGGTAGACCTTATAGGTTTCAGATTTCCTCTCCCATCCAGTTTTGTCACCAGGACAAGAAGTAAAGAGATATCCCTCTAATGATGCAAAGACAACAAAAATAAACCCAAAACAACCCTGGAGTGACAGCCCTTCCCTGCTCTATCAAATACTAAAAGGTTTTGCTTGTGGACAGAAAACATTATTGCACTCTGAAACCCATTGCTCCCCTCATCCCACACAGACAACCAAGATGCTGGCTACCACAGCTTGTCTCCACTCTGTCAAAAGTATAAAAAATATAAACTGCATTAAAAAACTTGGCTCTTCTTTCTGTAATTAATTTATCAACAAATGAAACTGCATTCATTGATGTCTCCACCTTCCTTGACGTGTTTCACCACTGCTGGCTTGCTCCCAAGGATAGGGGAAGTCAAGTCACTCTACTATCATTCAGTTTTATGGATTCTGTCCTTTTTAACATACAGTATGAATATACAGGATTTATATTGCACCAACATTGAATCACTGTCCAAATCCTGCTGCTTGGGACAATAGACAGCTTTGATTTTCACAAAAAATTAAGTTTTGAGCTGATACCACCAAAACAGTTTTATGACTTAAAATGAAAGGCAGGTAACACTTTATATGCAGATGCAACTTGCAGGTCACTTGTTCAGCTTGGCCATAAAGTATGCCTTTCTCATGCTATATGTGCACTCTTGTTCATTTAGGCCATGATCTGCAAAATTCCTGCACAGCTCTAAATGAGGAGTGTGAGGATCTGAACTGGGAGGCCGAGAGAGAAATGGAAATTATGTGTTGTGAAGGAGGAGAAGATTTTATTCCACCCAAGATTATGGTAAGTATAATATTTTCCCCTTAATTGTTCCTTCTTACCATTTATATTACACCCGTTGCCAACACACAGACATAAACATGTTTGCACTGATAGTGGAAATTAAACTGGAAAAACATTATTTCTTTTGTAAAACCATTAGTGAATATGGACGATGTAGCTGAGGCCATGGTGAATTCTTCCAAGGAATATTAGGAGAATACTTTTGGGAAGAGAGAATTGGGACAGGAAGTGGGGAAAAATCTCCCCATTGGGAACACCGATAGTAGTAAAAAGTTCTAACCCTTCCATATGATGTCCAAAACTAAACAAGAGGTGTCATTTTAATGAGCTATAGCCTTTTATGGGGTTCCTTCTCAGATAAACTAGTGAGAAGTTAATTTAAAGTAAGCTAGATCAAGGGCACACTTCATTTTATTATGCATTTCTAATCTGTTGGCACTTGGTCTGCCAAGGGTTCAAATTAGGATTGCTGTGGGAGTGCCTACATTAGTAATTAATAGGCAACAGGAGGAAGTACTTATGGGGCTTACAGGAGGATGAGAAGTAGCTATCAGCAGTGATGTTCAGTGATAGTATGGAGAGCAGGCAGGAAGCGGAGCAGTGGCACAACGTCTGCAGAATTAAATGCTGTGGAAAGCTTTTTTGCTATCTATAGGCAGCCATAATGCTTAAAGGTAATCAAGCTTTGAATTCCATGCACATATATACATACTGTACATATTTAGGTACAACTTGCCTAAAGCAAATTACAGTAATGTGCTGTAGCATAGTATTTATCTCCTTTTGTTTGCAGACTGTATTTCTACAAAATGCATTTTATGTTTGGAGACTTGGAAGCACAAAAAATAATCATATATTCTCCCTGCAGCTCATATCATCAAAAGTTCCCAAAGCAGAATATATTCCCACCATAATACGAAGAGATGACCCTTCCATCATTCCCATTCTCTACGTAAGAATTCTTTACTTTGTATTACTATCCCCATAGAGCCCCATTTATGATTACTGTATATATTTTACCGTGTGTGTTTTTATTTCATTGCGGTCCTAGAATATGAAAACTTTGCACAACACATTTGCCTTATGCTACATATTTGCCTGAATGTTAAGCATTACCCAAAGCAAGTCTAGTCACCAATGTGTCTGTCTACTGCTGGCTAGACAATAGAAAGTCAATGGATGCCATGGTCAGCAAGAGATTCATGATGTTTTACATACACACTGCTCAATATATTTGAGGTGGTTAGTTCTCATCACCAAAATCTTGACCAGTCCTTTGAATTAAATGTTGATTGACCTGAGTCAGTGGAGTAACATTGGCTGCTCACATGAATTTTACAAAGTCTTTTTAAAATTCAAGCTGAATTTTCAATTGTATATAGTGTATATATTTTTGAGATGGTGCACCATTGCTGTGTTTATTTAGATTAATTTAATCAGAAAAGGTCCGTTCAATCAAATTTGTGCATTGTCCAGAAATAATAAAAATCACTAGATATACCATGCACATTGCAACCAGGCAGACATTTTTCAGCCCGTCTGGTTGTTTCCTCTTCAATTAAACCTTTAACAATTGATTTTAAACGATTGAGAAATACTAAATGTGCGTTGACTATCAGATGGTCTGATTGAAAAGTGCAGGCACCTTTAGGTTCTACTTGAACAGGAAGAAAACAGGCTTTCATTCAACAATTAGGTTTTATTCTTATGAGATCACATTCCATGAAGGGAATCTGTCATGGGAGAAATACACACTACCACTGCGGATGTCCCTGACCCAGAACAAGCAAGTAGTTAAGTCAGAGGAAATGATGAACTCCTGATACTTACTCCAGGTCAGTAACTCCGAAATTACTGGAGCATGATGGCCAGGTAATTGGCATTTTTAAAATGAGACTCCAGCAATGACAACCTCCATATTTCTCAGATTTTCAAAGGCTGTCTTTTCTAATCTGCCTCTTGAAGATGATTTTTGCTTGCTTTGTTTCACCGATCTGATGGCTTCAGTACTTTGCGAGTAACAGGTTTGGAGTAAGTATGTGGAACAGGAGCCCTGGCTGACTTGCAGTGGAAATATAGAAGCCACAAACTCACAGATTGTTGACACTTTTAGGTGGTCTACAGTCACGTCAGCCATTGTACATCTCTCAGGACACGTTTTCTTGAAAACAGTTGTACTGCTATTGGACACATTTTATGGCATTTTCTGTACACCCCAAAACATCCACACACCAAAATGCACTCTCTTCCTTGTACGAATTTGGTTTCTGCATTTGTGTTCTGATGGTTTTTCATACCTATTATTGTCTTTTGCGGTTTAGGATCATGAACATGCAACATTTGATGACATCTTAGGTAAGTTGTGTCAGCCTTTTTGCATCCTGTTTGTATTCTTTTTGTAATAGGTATTGTTAGTCCCCTTTTTCTGCTTTGTTTGGATTATGAAATGTATTTGAAAAGGTATCAGAGTTTAAATTTTTTTTTTTTTTTTTTTTATAACACATTTTACTCTTAAGGAAAGTTGTCCAAGAACTAAGCAAATATATAATGAGTGAGTGAGAAGGAGTTTGACTCTGAAGAAGATTCAGAGGTTTATTGGAACCTATTTGTTACATATCAGAATTGATATTTGCCATCTTTTACATATTTAAACTTAAATCTAAGATTTATCAATTGTGTTCTGATAAACTGCAGAACCCTCTTCGTTTTTGTTCTTACTCAGCGTTTCATGAGAGATTCTGGCATTAAATATTTCTATGCAGTTGTTAGGAGACAGTCAAATGTTTTGAGCAGCTCTATATAACTGGGTGGTGGCTTGTCTAGTAAGCTCAGCCTGCTGGATAGTTTTATTTCTTCAGCATTTGTTACCTCCACTCACTGGATGTTACTTAAAGTATATGGCCTTCCATTAAAATAATTTGTAGCGCTGACTTTTAATAAAAGGATGCTTACCTGCCCAAGGATCCAGTGCCGTCCCTGTAAGGGCTGGTTCTTGGCCGGTTTCCAGTGCCAGAATAATTGTGAGAAATTTTGCAGCTTCACAGCCTGCTGCCCACTGTGCTTTTTGAATGGTCCTGCTGCATTCCGGGACCTGCGATGGGTCCCAAGAGGTTACGAACAGGGGTGAGGGGAACTTCCGGTGGAATCGCCTAGGCAATTCTAGCTGAAGTGGGAGTGGGTACCTGAGAAAAGTAGGTATCCGCTTCCCCAAAAAAAGTGCCAAATGTGGTAGAGAAGGGGTGAGGAGGACATAAAGCCCTTTTAGGGTCAAGTTCTGCTTTAAGCAGCAGTTTCACACCATTTATCTTCCTGTAACTGTAAAATGTGTTCACAGATGTTTTTATTTTCTCCCCCCACAGAGGAGATTGAGAAGAAGCTGAATGTATACAGAAAAGGGTGCAAAATCCGAGAGATGCTCATTTTCTGCCAGGTAGCTGATCAAGTTATTATGTAGTACACAGAACGCTGTAAAAACATAGTACTGTGAATTATTATATTTGTACAAATGGATACATTTTTTTCACTGCAAAACGTCAAATAGAGCCCGGCTCATTTTCTGGCTGGAAGAAGTCCAGCATTATCTTGCACTTTCTTCCCCAAGCCTTACAGTCTCTAACCCATCCCTTTCATTCATTGGATTTCAGTTCTTTCAAACATGGGAGTCTCAGCATGTGGGTGTTACCTAGGGTGGTCTATATGTAAACGCTGCCTGCCCAGGGAATGACCACTGCTCCAGACTGACACTTACCCATTAAGGATTTTGATATTTGTATAGGTCTTCCTAAGAGCCAACCCAGTGTTGGCATCAGGGCTGAGGATTCTTGAGAGGCGAGGTCCCCTCCTATCAGCCATGATATGTCTATATTACATAGAGAAGTGCAGAAGCTCAGTGATGTCACTGGGTCTAAAATAAGGTCTGTTTTAATTTATTAGCATGATGAGGAGGAAAGGGAAGACAAAATATAAGCAGAATAAACTTCAGCTTTAATTTGTATATTTGGCTGATGGAGTTGTGCATCTCTGCCATTTACCCTTTTCTGCTTAAAGAAGTTCCTCCAGCAATCTTCTCTCTGCCATGATCCAATCTTTTAGGAGTCAAAGCATTCCTCAGTATACTCAAAGGCACAGATGCTAATAAATTTTACTGCTGGAATATGTCAATACGCTACCAATAGATGTCACATTATATAAGAAATATACAGAAATTTAGTAGAAGCTGTAAGAAAGTTCTATAAGCCTATATAAAAGGCACATCCTTTTATGTTTCTTTCTAGGGGGGACCTGGCTACCTCTATCTGTTAAAAAATAAAGTCGCTACTTTTGCCAAAGTGGAGAAGGAGGAGGATCTTATTCAGTAAGTTGAATGTTCTTATCCCCATCACACTACCTACTAACCTTATGAAATTTGTCTTTCTTATGAACTCCAATGACTTCAGGATGCCACAAAAGCCTAATTAAGTTTTTCTCTGTAAAACTTTCCATTATTTGCCAGTTTATTACAACACAAATGCAGCTAAGTGTTTGTACATGAAATAGAGCCGTGGATAATTAGTTCTTTCTGCGTTCTCACTTCTCATTAATTCTCTCCTCGCTGCTGTCTCGGCCAGGAATAAATGTTTGCAGGTTAATGACGTAGGGAACGGAAGGGTTTGTGCTCACCGACTGATCCTTTGATGTATAAAGGGCAGACTGTGAAATCTGTTTGGCGATTTAAATGTTACTCAGCTGAAAGGGATTATTTGAGTGCAGTGGAACTTTTATTTCATTATTACAGAGGTTTGTCCGCTACAGAGCCAACAGACTCATCTCATTTCATAATAAGTACTGTATATCCTATAGGGTCCTTCTTTTTTTTTTTTTTTTAAAATGGGCCTAATTTTACATAAGATTTTAGGACAATGTTACATTAGCATCCTCTGTGCTGGCTAAGAGCTCCCTCGCCTGTTCCTAAGGCTAAGTTCCCTCTCTGGCCAAAGAACAGTAAAATGTCAGCCTTCTCAGACTTCCACAAGAACATCCCCAGAAAACCCACATTTTTCACTTTGGGCAGATTAAGTACATCCCGATCCTTCCTCCCTCCTCTCACATCAGAGAGGAAGTGTTCCTTTGCATATGCATAAAAAGGATAATCTCCTGCGCCAAAATGTAGATGTAAATGATTGAATGATTAAAGCAGCCTGTATTAGTAGTGCCACAGCCACAGCACCAAAATCAACAACTCTATATAAAACCAATTAATACGGCGCTAAATAAGCAAAATAAGATAAACCATATAATATAGTGGCTGACATATATAAGGAGTGGCTGACATATATATAAAGAGTGAAGTGGACAGCTTTGAGGATAACATGCATGAAGGTGAGCAAAAACGTGAATAATGTCCTTAATGGGTAAACATAAGGTGAATGGTGTCCTTAATGGGTCACACAGACTTCATGCAGGTGTGAGCCACAATGTGCCAATTCTCTACGGCTGGGGTGCCCCCTCACCTTCCTGCTCAGGCCCCCAGGGACCAAAGAGCTTATAATGCTGATTGTAATGATCCTGCTGGTCGGTGGATCCTGCTGGTAATAGTGGTGTCACTCACTCCTCCTGGTAGGTCTTAGTATGGAATAGTAACCTCAGCACTGCCCGTGATGTCTCTCCGATAAAGGCTCTCCAGTACGGTCACCAGTGAGGCAAGAGAGACTTACATAGTGTAAAACCTTTTATTATAATTAAAAACAACCAAGAGCCTACTTACACGGATCTGATAGTAAGCAGGCCTTTACACCTCTCCAAGGGTGTACTGTGTTCAGGACTTGGAGCACCAAGATGGCGTCCCCGCCGGATGTGACGTCAAGCCGTCAATCGTAGGAAGCTTCCTCCCTCTGGCGTATCTACGCGTTACGTCACTCAAACACGTGACTTCATCAGGATATATCCTGATGAAGTCACGTGTTTGAGTGACGTAACGCGTAGATACGCCAGAGGGAGGAAGCTTCCTACGATTGACGGCTTGACGTCACATCCGGCGGGGGCGCATCTTGGTGCTCCAAGTCCTGAACACAGTACACCCTTGGAGAGGTGTAAAGGCCTGCTTACTATCAGATCCGTGTAAGTAGGCTCTTGGTTGTTTTTAATTATAATAAAAGGTTTTACACTATGTAAGTCTCTCTTGCCTCACTGGTGACCGTACTGGAGAGCCTTTATCGGAGAGACATCACGGGCAGTGCTGAGGTTACTATTCCATACTAAGACCTACCAGGAGGAGTGAGTGACACCACTATTACCAGCAGGATCCACCGACCAGCAGGATCATTACAATCAGCATTATAAGCTCTTTGGTCCCTGGGGGCCTGAGCAGGAAGGTGAGGGGGCACCCCAGCCGTAGAGAATTGGCACATTGTGGCTCACACCTGCATGAAGTCTGTGTGACCCATTAAGGACACCATTCACCTTATGTTTACCCATTAAGGACATTATTCACGTTTTTGCTCACCTTCATGCATGTTATCCTCAAAGCTGTCCACTTCACTCTTTATATATATGTCAGCCACTATATTATATGGTTTATCTTATTTTGCTTATTTAGCGCCGTATTAATTTGGTTTTATAGAGCCTTTGCATATGCAGATACTTTTAGTAACTTGGTCTCTGGAGCAGGGGCTCCGGTGGCATCCCAGTGTAAGGTCCTTCCAGTATATGTAATTAATATGGCACCTTACAGTGCCTGTTAGCCATTATTGGCTTTAGTATACACTGTAATTCAGCAATACAGGCTTATGCTAAAGGAATCGTGTGACAAGAAAAACAATGGAATTTTCCACTATTGACCTCTGCTTCTGCAGAAGCATTTTTGTTATTATTTAATACAGGTACTTATATAGCGCCAGCACAGCACTTTACATGCATACTGTCATATATTGTACATTCACATGAGGCCCAACTCTCAAGGGGCGTACAATCTAAGTTCCCTAACTTACATTCATGCATACACATACTAGGGCCAATTTGTACAGGATCCAATTATCCTACCAGCATGTCTTTGGAGTGTGGGAGGAAACCGGAGTACCCGAAGGAAACCCACGCAGGCACAGGGAGAACATGCAAACTAAGGGCGGGTGGTGCCATTGTTGGGATTCAAACCAACAACCCTAGTACTGCCAGGCGGAAGTGCTAACCATTTAATCTCTAAAGTTTACCAATTTGCAAATGAAAAAATTACATTTTAAGCAGATACTTAAGCTGACCATAGACCATATGTAATTATTGCCCACCTTAGCCAACATCTTCTGTATAGAGCTAGAATTCCATGTCTATTGTGACAGTAGAAACCTCCATGTCTGACTATTCTTTGGTGGAGGTAGGGGGATTGAATGATCAACTATTAGGCTTGAAAACTTGGTCTAACCCCTACTATTGCTCCAAAGATAAGCTGGTGTTGGGAGCCATCTGCCTGCTCTTCTATTTACTAAATACATATGCTCAGGAAAGCTAAGCATACAGTGGGGTCCATCAATAGACCTAATACCCTGCATCTATAGCTGGCATTAAAATAGAAATTATATACTGCATATATCTGTAAAAGAGATCAGTTTGATTAAAACAATGTATTCCCTGTGTGGCTGATATCTTATTCCAAAATCTGTTAAGAAGGGAGGTAGAATGATTCCTGATTCAGTGTTTGCTGCACATTGAGTGTTACAACTGGATAATCAAGTCATTGCATTTAAATATAATAACCAAAAGATGAAAGAGCAAGCTGTACTTTCCCTGTAAATACAACTATTATTGATACCGAATTTCATTGCTTTTTCTTTCATAGATTCTGGAGAAAACTTAGCAGGTTGATGAGTAAAACCAACCCAGAACCGAATATAATCCATATCATGGGGTGCTACGTCTTGGGAAACCCTAATGGTGAAAAGGTATGGCACAATAAACAATTTTTTATTTGTATACTAAATGAATGACTCCTAAATGTATAATAAAAAGAATCTGAATGGACCTAAATTTGACCTTGAACAAAAAGTAAGCTGGCATGTTCCAATCTTTGCCCTCTCTTAGCCTACTACAGTCCTGCAAAAATACAGCATAGCATTAAAGCTGAAGTCCAGGAATTCAGACACTTTCTAAAATGTGTTTCCTTACTAGGGGTTAGGTCCAATAAGGTACATACCACCTCATAGACTTCTCTCTAAAATTAAAAATGTACATTTTTACTGAGTGCCAGGAGTACAGCTGTCGCTATACTTTCAGCACTTTGACGCTAGACCTTCTGGTCTCAGCTTCTGCAGCATCTCTGCCCTCCCCTCCTCCTGCCCAACCACAGAATTCTTTGTATTATGTAAACAAATTCACAAAATACACAGGTTTCTGTAAATGAAAAATGTGTGTGTGTGTGTGTGTGTGTGTGTGTGGGGGGGGGGGGAAGGGGGTGTCTGTCACGTGAGAAATCTGCGTCTCCCTGGTGCTTGCCACAGGAGAGTAGGGATAACTGTACACCTGGCACGCAGTAAAACTGTCATTTGTTAATAACAGGAGGCACCTCATTGGACTTGACCCATCGTAAGCCAGAAGATTTAATAAAGTAGCTAAATTCATGGAGTTCAGTATTAAAGAAAGATTGCACTGCTCATATGAGGGATTATATAAAATTCTCAGAATAATTATGTGGTCTTCTTGCTTTAAGTAGTCTTGTGCTATTCCCTCCATAGTATATTCATCATGTTCATTAATTTCTCAAAACAAATTGAGTCTTATTTTAAAGGGTTAGTTACAGTAACTCAGAAGTGCTTTCTAGTAATAAATGAAGACTTCCCTGTCTCAATTCTAGACTTCCTGCCCACATTTGTGTATTCCAGGATGGCCTGTTACATTCTGAATATTAAAAATAAATTTAGTAGGGATGCTGAGAGCTCCTCATAATGGCCACAGCAGATAATCCAATATCAGACCAACAAGGTTCAAGAGACAGAAGAAATTTTCATTTGGTTTAAATGTCGGTTTTGGGTGGTCTTGCTCTTTCAATCTAACGGTTTTTCTTAGTGTTTTTTTTTTCTTTTTTCTTTTCCATTTGGCGTATTTTCCCAGTTGGGTTAAGTTGAATGTCTGTCTTTTTAAGCTTTTCCAGAATCTGAAGAATCTAATGAGTCCACACCGGATTGATTTCAAGTCTCCTCTGGAACTGTCTGCACAAGGTAAGGGCTATTGACCTGTTCTTGGAACATTGCTTGTAAGGTAATCCATACATCCTATGACAACATGGCTGAAGCGACTGGCACATTAATTACTTGTCTCCATGTCCGGTGCAAGCCAAAGCGGCATGTCTCATGACGGACGTAATATCTCAAGGGTTGTGGAGAGCATCTGCTCAGAGTTTTAATTTTCCACTCATATAATTAGACAGACTTGATTAAATCTCCCTTGAGCAACTAACATCAGCCACACTGTCCATGTTTGTCACCCTCTTGGCAGATTCTACTCAGCCTTGTTTGCAAGATGAGGCATTGGACATATTCCAGAACTTGGCAGCAGTAGCTTGTAATTGCTGACCCTCCACCAAGAGATGACGTCATAGAAAAAGCATGTGTGGAAGTGCCAATCTTTATGGCTTGGGAAGTACAAGCCACAGCTGCTTTCTTATTAAGTCTTTCCAGCCTTTGATTAATAATGCAAAGGGCAGTTACCCAAATCAACCAAATGGAGATATTTTTTTCTGTTCAAAATAGAACTCGGTTAAAACTGAAATAGGATTGGTCAAAAATAGTTATTTCAGATTCATGTTCTTGATTCTTGAGCGTTAAAATATACCTTCATGCAAGTATTAAGAAAGAAAAAATGCCTTTTGTCCAATTATGTTTAAAACTCCAAAAGAGCAAAAGGGAGTATATTGCTGTTTAAGCAGTTAATGTATTACATGCTTATCCAAAAGTTCATTTAACAGACTAAGTATTAAGCCCAACTCCAGGGAAAGGGTTAAAAAAAAAAAAAATTCTGTTAGCTTTTTATGTCTGTTTGTGATGACATCCGCAAAATGTTTTCCTCACTTCTTCACATGTATACAATAATGTCTCATGCACACTAGAAGTTTAGCCATCTCTCCTAGACGCCTTTCCTTCTGGTAGCAGCGTTTTGGCAGAAAAAATGTTTGACGCATATGTGTAATGTGCTTGGGCATTAATTTAAATCATAGGGGTTAAACTGGTGGCCCTCCAGCTATTGCCAAACTACAAGTCCCATGAGGCATTGCAAGATTGACAGTTACAAACATGACTCCCAAATGCAGATGCATGATGGGAATTGTAGTTTTGTAACAGCTGGAGGGCTGCCAGTTTGCCACCCGTGATTTGGATCATTGGCCAGAATATTAATTTATTCTGGTCATTGATATGAATTAATGCTTAAGCTCTAAAAGCACCTAGCGTTTGTGTGGCAAGCATTTTTTTTCCTGCCAAAACACTGGTGCTCCTGGATGCACTGGCAGTGTTTTTTTTTTTTCTGTTTCAGTGATTTTTTTATTAGACTTACAATTAGAAAATATTATGCAAAAACCTTTTTTTTTGTCAGTCAATGCATACAGCAAAAGTAAAGTCTAAATAAATTAATCCTCTGTGTCCGACTTCAATATTCCCATAAATACAGATGAGATGTGTACCTCAAAAATAATTTTAAAAACTTGTATTTTATATTGTACAATTAGAAAAGGCAATACAAAATGGCACTGAGATGTACATTACAGAACATTCACCACAAAAGTTGCTAGTAGCAACACCTGACACAGGGTGTGCTGGCAAAAATGTCTCACAGCATAGTCCAAAGGACAATATGAATGACTGAGCAGGTACAACTGTGCTCTAGTTTCCACTGTAAAGCAGAGACTGGCCGATAGGGTCCTCTGCATAAAGGATACCCATCTAGGTCAGAAGTATCTTTGGGGTCATGAGACCGCATCTGTCTCTATACCAGGCGTCACTAATTGGCAGTCCGTGGTCCAGACATGTACCAAGGGACAGTCCTGTCCTGTCTGCTGTACCACAGCCACACCACTTAGCAGCCTGCATGAAAACTCTCAGAACAGCAGGGGGCATGAGACACAACAAGGTGGATTTCTCTTCTGTATATGTATTCACCTGGCTGCTGCCGCTGCTGTTATACTCACAGCAGGGAAGAGGGTGGGAGATATGGCAGTTTTACATAGGGAGCGGGAGCTGCCCAACATTTCGCTTGTTAATAAGAGAGTTGGTCAGCTCCCACCCTTAGTGCAGACCTTCCGTATCACCCATCCTCTTCCTGTTGTGAGTTTAACAGCAGCGGCAGGCAGGCAGCTACATATACAGAAGGCAGGCAGCTACATATACAGAAGAGGAATCCACCCTGCTGTGTGTACCACCCTCTGTCGTTCTAAGGTAGGACTGTGAAGGGGGAAGAGCTGTAACTGCAGTGGAGACTATGGTTTAATGAGGAGGAGGGCTATGATGTGAAAGACGGGGCTGTGAGGTGAGAAGAGCAGGCCCTGATGTGAAAGGGGGGGGGGGGGGCGCTGTGATGTGAGGAGAGGGGGCTCTGATGTGAAAGGGTGGAGGGGGGTCTGTGATGTGAAAGTAGAGACTGAAGGCACTGATGTAAAGGGGGCTGTGATGTAAAAGAGGCAGAGCTGGGATGTGAAGGACCTGAGTCATAGAAATAAAATGAGATTTTGACCTCCGTGAATTTTAACTCAGTACCCCTGCTCTATACAATAATGTATCACTTGTGGTGAATAAACAAATAAATAGCCATGAGTTGGGACAGGCATCTCGTCAATGGTAACTAAACTTGCAGTAAAAGTAAGAGAAGAATGTGGAAAGCTGAAATGGAAAGGGGGAAAGACAAGAGAAGAATGAGAGCACAAGAGTGTGTCTATCCAGGGATCCATCAACTTCTCACCCAGGAGCCACCTTTAGGGTGTCTGGTATCTGTAGATGAGAAAGCCAGGGGTTCCAGACCTTATCAAATAAGGTTTGTTTATCCCATAAGACTTTCACAAGCTTTTCGTTAAGCATGATCCAGGTTAGCTTGCACTTCATCAAGGCCAGGGCAATTATTGGACTTTTTCAGGCTGTCTCTATAGCAATTTTTGCACTAAGAACATAAATTAATCAAAGTTTGCATGTGTCTCAGGATATCGTCCACTGGGGCATTCAATAATGCTGTCTGAGCATCTTTGGGGATATCGACCATGGTGACCAAATGTATAAGGGAATGGACCCATACCAAAAAGCAACGAATTTTAGGATAGGTCCACCACGTATGAAGGACCGTTCCCATCTGGCCACAACACTGGAAGCATGAGGACGGGGAGACTGGGTACGTTTTGGCACTAGTGTTTTTTGCCTCTAAACGCCTATGTGTGCATAGATACATAGACTAACATGCAGTGGCATTTAGAGGCAGAAAAAATAGCCAGACACCCCTAACAGCAGCTTTAAAAACATAAAGTGTGCATGAGGCCTAAATGGGGGAGCGAAGGGTTGGCATAGACAGTAATAAAAACACTGTCATAAGAGTTGGACTACTTTATGTTCTTTTAAGGTAAATTACAATATAACCTATTGTATGTATTTCCTCCCTTTTTTTTTTTTTTTCCTTTTAGGAAAGCAATTGATCGAATTATATTTTGACTTTCGATTATATCGCCTTTGGAAAACTCGCCAGCACTCCAAGCTGCTAGATTACGACGACATCTTATGAGCCCAGTCAAAGGCCATTTTAGGAGTACTTTTTTTGCTGCTTCCCAGGGGGCTGTCAGTCTGCTGGGACCTGCCGCTATAGAGAGCCAGGGACCAGAGTACAAAGACGGAAATGGAAGGCACAGTCCGCTGGCGATTTATGCGGTTGTTTTACCTTGAACGGGAGTCGGCCCGAGGCTTGACAAGCCTGAGCCCGAAGACAGAACATAGAGAAAAAGAGGAGGATGTGTCTTCAAACTGAGCTTCGTTAATTCAGGGCAAAAACAAACAAAACACAAAGAATCATCGGGTCCGCTATCCTAAAGGTCCTCGTAAGACTTATGCTCAGGTTTTATTACGAAAATAATGTTAACTACTCTTGCACTAGAGAGCAAGGACCCCAACTAGCCTTCAAAAACCACAGCAAACTTTTTTTTTGTAGCAAACCCAGGTGACCTTTATTTCCTTCAGGCGGAGGATGACCAAGAACGCCAAGAACGAGCGCCACAAATACTGTACAGCTGGTGTTCGAAGCAGGAAGGCTGGACTGATTTAGAATTAATACATTTATGGATATAGATATATCTATATAATATATACATATATCTTATTAGGAGGTTTCTAGTAATTTCATGTGGGGTGACTTAGGATACAAGTGCAATTTTTTTTTAAACAGCAATTAGCGTATTTAATTGTTATAAATAAACGTGCAGAGGTTGTTTAGCTACCCTGCACAGTGTGTTTTGTGACAGAGCGGGACACTCTATACACAGTAGTACACAGTCTTTTGTAGTCACCTAGATCACCAGCAATCATGCGTTGATTCCCAGCTCTCCTACCCAGTGGTAGTTCCCGTCCCACACACTGTGCTTCGTGTTACCAATCGTTTCTCGAATCGTGCCGGTGTCGCCAAGCAACCCCACCCTACTGTTGGACTCTGCACACTTTCACATCCATTTGGCACCTTGCAATATATTGATATTATTATGAGAACATAGTAGGCTTCAGTAGAATTATATGTACAGTACACTTAGCGGTAAAACGGTATATATATTTACATATATAATTCATTTATAGGCTACTAGCCATATCGACGGTATAGCCCATCTTTGAAGAGTGTCAGGTTTTTCTCTTCTCTCGATGGGACCTCAGGTTTGGTATGTTTTTGGTGTGTAACCGTGCATTCTGTAAGCCAGGGGTATGGATCTTCTGCATCCATGACGGATGTTTTTTTGCAAAGGCGAGGCCTGGTTTTATATAGTGTGTGTATTGACGCAGCCAGAACGTGGGGCAACCGCTGGCTGCTGTATCTATAGAATAATCTTGTTGTGGGGTGGGTGATAGTGCTTTTCCAAGATTGTATTGCTGAGATGTTAACATTATTCGTCGTCTCAAATAGTCAAATCTTTCTGACCGCAGTTCTTTGCTTGATTTTTGGATCAGAAAGAGGCGGAGTAAAAATCACAGAATTCACCTAGCATACACATTCATTTCACTTTCTTGTCATCACCATTGCACTGTACTTAATGGGTCTAAAAATTTCCTCCTGACATTGAGGCCCAATTAATTTAAAAGGTCAGTCAACCATACATTTTGGGGCCAGATGTTGGTAATCCGTAGTCTAAACCAGGCAAGCAAAACGTAACGTATAAATTGTAGTCTTTTATTTATTGCACACTAGAAGACAGCAGGCACTGTTTAGGCTCCAGAGAACATGTGATTGCATTGGTTAAAGTCACTTTGGTGACCCAGCTGCTTTCCAGCTAAATCAATCCTGTGTTTTATGATACAGGCAACCATACTGTAAATGTTTTTTTTTTTTTTTTTTTTAAAGGAAGGATATTATAAGACATCTCTTTGTTGATTAAAGCATTTTAAATGTTATATATGTCTCATATAAGCAAATATATTTTTTTTCACTTTTTAGGCTACAGATTGCAGGGTTCTCCCATGAGTTCCCTAGTAGCAATGCAATAAAAAAAACACCCTTATATTTATTTTGCTGTATTTTGGAGTTGCATATGGTTTATATTAATTGCTTAAAACTTTTGGGCCTACTGATAAAGCTTCAAACTTGAGTATTTTTTTTTTTTTTTTGTGGAGGGGGGGGGGTTATAACTCTTTTTTTAAGCCTTTTTTTTTTTTTAAAAACTGTCTCCGTTTCTTGTGCATTTTACCAGATTTGTTAGCATATCTTCATGGTAACTGTTATTTAGGAATTTAAAAAAGGCCAGTCTGTTCTCTGCTGGCATAATTGTATTTTCTGGAAAGCTGACACTTTTTAAGGACAACGTAAAAGAACAAAATTATGTTTTCCAAATTGTACAAAAAAACATTTTTTTGTCAAAGACTTATGCTTTGGATTTTTTTTACACTATATGTCAGGGGTTCATAAATCAGGACAATGATAGCTGCTTTTTATCAATAAGCTTCTTCGGGTTTTAAGTAAATCCTGAATATTGAGCATGTTGTTTTATTGCATTTCTTCAGTGAGTGGGGGGGGGAGTTGCAATTCTAATTTAACTGCAAATTTCTTTAGCATAACTCATGCTTCTCTTGCTTTTAGATGATAAAATGTCACAACATGCTTGCCTGCCAACTTGATGCCTTTAAACAAGTGGTGGTGGCTTGTGAAATTTATTGTCAATGTAAAATAAACTAAAATTTAGTCATGTATATGCAATGCCCTTAATCATGGTTTCTTTTACAAGTGGAAAGACACATGGTTGTAATAGGAAGAGAGCATTGATCACACTTAAACAGTTTGGCAAGTAGGACATACACAGTAGGACATACACATAAAATATATATGAATCCAATGTTTCCTTTTTATTAGAAAACAAAGGATAAGTGCTCTTTTATTAAACTATTCAACCTTTAAATTGTGATAATTTAAATGCCCCTTGTCATTTGTGTCTGCAAATTTTAGAGCTAAACGTATAATGAAATATAATTGCAAATGAAAGGAAGATAGCTTTGATTCTGTTTTGAATACATTTTTTCTTAGGGAATAATTTACCTCTATTTCCAAAAAGTTGACATTTCTTTATATAACATAGATATCTCAGTTGGAATACATATGTACATTGGTAAGCTTTTTGTGTACTGCAGTGGATTGTAAGCTCCTCTGGTTCAGAGCTAAAGGTCATTTGTTCAGTTTGCTCTGTACAGTGATGAACAGACTTTGTAAATCAATAAAATTTATAATTTGCTTTTTGAAAGGTCAAATGTCAGGTTTAGTAAAATTAGACCTTTTATTACATCTTCAGACAAAAATATAAATTTTGCTTGTCCTTCAGACGAAATTGGAAATTTTGCTTATGTAATATTGATTTTTTTGGGGGGAATACAAATGCCACTAAATAAAGATATTTTAAATTTTCAAAAAATTGGTTAGTTATCCATTATTCTACGAGGTTGACACCAAAATGTCAGGAAAGGCAAAAGTTATTTGAATGCTATCTAAAGCTTTTTTGGGAGGAAGAGAGGGGGATAGTAGCAAATAGTTAAAACTTTGTCTTTTTTTTTTTTTTTTTTTGCCATCTGTCATTTTGGGGAGAATTCCGATTACTTCCTGTCCCAGAGATTCCACAAAATGTGTGTAGTAAACCTCTCTAAAATGATAGGAAATTCCCTCATTATTGGAAGATAATATGGGAACAGGTGTCCCCACTGGAAGATTTCTTCTCTTCTTTTGTTGACTATATTAAATAAATTTTTTGTTCATGTGACAGTATTCATAAACTCATATGGAGAGGGTGAATCTCCCCAGCAGGGGCACAGACGGCAATACAATCCTGACAAGGATTTGGATCCCTTCTTGCTATGTTCATAACTTTAACAAAAATGGTTTCAGACTTTTAAGCATCCCTTGTTTCCATTTTCACAAATCAGTCTATAAAGCTTGTTTGACGATCATGTACGCCATTTACACTGGTTATGTAGTCGTGTATTACACCACTTTTGTAATATTCCTCTAAAATACTCTATACTAATATATACTGCCTTTATAAATTTACAGACTTCTAAGTTAGAGATATTGTCTTTGGCTGAAGCCACCCTGTAGGCAAAGATGATCATGTACAAATTCATTATCACTAATGAACATGACATTTCCATAAAACGGAGCATTGCATTGAGGCACATGAAAAATATCTCCGTCTCCGGACTAATGACCTGTGAGGTGTTTGCGACATGCAATGTTTGATGCACTTCAGTGCCTGCAGGAACACCGTGCCAGGGGAGGGGGGATGTGGAGAGGGAGCACATTGATATTCTGATGGCTCCATTACTGCGGGAGATCAATAAATTATTAATATGCCATTCATTTGTGTTTATTATTTTTTTTTCTTCTACAACATTGGCTGTGGTATCTCCGCATCCTGGAAATTCCAATACCGTTATAATATAGCAAGGTTGTGTGCAATGCTCTGCCTTTACCATAAGCACGTTTTCTCTTTCTTTGAGGGACACAGCCTTAATCATTATGCATATGGGTCTCAGTCACCACTTGCAGGAGGAGGAAACTAAGCAAAAAAAACCTAAAGGGGCCAGACCACATAGTGGTTAAAAGCTAACCCTCTGCCAGGGAGATTCAGTTAGTAACAAACAGCAATAGAAAAAACTGAATATTCCAACAAAAGGCAACAGGACCAATAGATTTTTTTTATATATATATATCAAGTATCTACAATCTACATAATGCATTTGTATGGATTAAAGCAGAATTAAACCTTCTTTTCCTTTACAGCCAAAACGGCTAGAAGTTTAGCCATTGTTTGATCTGCAGTTTCTTGGATGCTGCACATGTGATCAGTTATGACACCAGCCATTGGATGGCCTGACAGTTTGGTTGAGAGTACGAGCAACAGTGACAGTTACCATTCATAGCATCTCTTGAAAGTAATTAGGAATGGGTTTAGTTCCACTTTGGAACTCATTCCACTTATTGCTTTTAATGGTTTCCCGAAGCAGTTCCATTCAAGGGATGCTGTGAATGATAACTGTCACAGTTGCTATTGC